ATGTATGTATATATGTATGTATGTATGTATATATGTATGTATGTATGTATGTATGTGTGTGTGCGTGTGTGTAACTATATATATACTACTTAACCTATGCAGGAAAAGGTGTATTTCAATTTTTAAAAGTCAAAATAATGGTATTTTTTATATGACATGAGAACTTTGGGTGGTAGAAATGTAAAAAAGTAAAGTTCAGGTGTTAGATATTTTAATTGATGGGAATTGGGCGGTATCATCTAATAAGTGATGACCATAACAAGTAAATTTGAAGTACTACCATCTAATAAGAGAAATCTGAGGAATCCATTTGAAGATCACAGGAGTATTTTCGGCATTTACATAATAACCCCCAAAGACTATGAACACGGTCATAAGTGATGGCCCCACTGCCATTGCTGCTTCAGTTGTAGGAACCATGGCTCCAACGGTTAGGCCCATTGCTGATGCAGCAAATGATTCCATTGTGATGATACCACAAAATTTTGCAAACCTGAAATCAAACTTACAGTTTAAAATCTTTGAAAAAATAGAAGATTTCTAAATAGCATAGACTAAAGCTGATGCACATGCAATTTCACTTTTATTTTTTTTTTTTGTCCATGATTTGAAGAATTGAGTGTGCAAATCTGAGCAAAAAGTCCAATATTTTCATTAAGTCAAATATAATATTATTAATATTTTGATAATTTCAAAACATTAATATCTTTTCATTTATTTCAATAAATTCAAATAAAAATAAAATATGTATGCACCAACAAAATAACATTTCGATAAGTTCGAAACATAATTTTATCAAAAAGGTTACAATGAATCTGATTGCCAAGTTATGAATAAAGAGAAAAATTTTCTTCGGGATATTCTTATCAAAATCTGGTTATAACTTAGAATGGATTTTAAATTTGTTAGATTTTATTTAAGATAAATGTAATACATGAAGAATAAATCAACAATTATATTAAAATAACCTAAAAATAAATTCAACGATTTTAAAATTCATCCTAATCAAAATTTGGATCTATACTGACCCAATTTTTTTCTAATAATAACCACAATGAAGTCAGACTATCTGAAGTTCTATAAGCAAAGGTTCACAAGTATTAACTATGTACGATCTTTAGAAGTGTACTTGGTCGAGTGAAACACAGGATGTTAAGGGCCTTGTTAATAGGGTGGGGATTATTACATTTTTTCAGTGTTCTTAATGGATTTAAACTTATTTGCTAATTACTTGATTTTGAGGTTGGCATTTATAATGTGAAAGTTGCCAAATATATAGTATGATCAATACAAAAATATAACAAATGCTGACAATTTCCAAGAATTTGTTGAGATATATACTTAAAGTAGATAACACTTGTTAGGTCCCAAGTTGTCTGTAGCCTCACAACACTTAGATAAGAGTTGTGCAAATAAAAGAACATAAGAACATAGAGAGAAAAAAAGAGAAGAAAGCTCTAGGATTTTTTAGTAAGTATGAAATAGATTACAAAGATTTGCCCCTGTACATTAAGATAACCTATCCTATTTATAGGATTGGGTTGAATTAAGATACTCTAAATAAATTGCAACACATCAAAATAAAATGAAATAACTGGACATGTGGCCTGGTTGTTTATCCGTCACGGAGAACTATTCGGCACTTGACGAGTTTGAAGAAATCGAATTGACTTGTTAAAAGAAGCAGTCGAAGTAGCCTTCTCAACTAGTATGACGAGATAAATTGCCAAATTGATTGGCCTAACTGGATTGTCAAATTGACAGAATGAACTCATGAGCTAATTTGTCCAACCGAATTGATATACTAAACTTAGATGACAAATTGAATCGACAAGTTGATAAAGGTCGGCTCACGATTTGACTTGGGCTTGGTCTAAGAGAATTTAGCTATACAGCAAAAGTATAGCAAATTAGATTATTATTAGGCATACATTTGTTCTGCTGTGAAGTCTAAATATTGTACGGCAAAAACAAGTTTTTCTCAGTAAGGTACCCAATATTTGGGAGTAATTTTATTAATAATATTTTAGAGATTTTACACACAATTCAACTTCCCTAATTTTTATTATTATAAAATGGGAGTCATTATTAATATTTTATTGAAGAAAGATTAAGATAAAAGAACAATAAAGGATACGTTCTGAATCCTCCTAAGTAAAATTTGTCATCACCATTGTGAAACCAAAATCAGCATAATGTAGTCATATGGGTGAACATGTATAAATTTTTGGAAGTGTTTTGTGCGTTTTACTTTCTTCCAACTCCTGATCTCGATAATTTGAATTCAGCTTCTACTAATTCCCAACTTAAATTTCACAAGGCTCTCTCATTCGAAATGAAATAGGTCAAACTTTGCCATCAATCAAGCTATAAAAAACTACCATCAAACCGAGTTTTTTTCTAAAATTCTTGGTTAAGCTCTGGTTTTGAACATGAACAAGCATCGGAAAATACTGCACAAACCAAAAGGAGGCTTACCGAGATAAGGAAGGATGAAGACGAGCCATAGGATATAGGATTGAGCCAAACATCAATGGAAACGCTGCTCCAATGGGGATTTCGGCAAGCAATTTGGATAGTAGATATGGTCCCATAGCATAGGATCTTTTTGCGTGCTCTCGATTTATGATCGTTCGTTCCTTCGGAAATACGCTTACAGTTTTCGTCAGTGCCGCCATCGCTGTGTTTATGGCAGCTACCTTCAACAGCAAAAAGATAAAGATTTATTAAAATTTCATTTGAAAAGCGCATCCTTGTAGTTCTTCATGGATGCATTGACTCCATTACTTTAAGAACGCCTATAAGAACAACTACAACAATGGCTGAACAGTCATTGAAACACGTAGTGGCTTAAAAATTTTAGGAAGATTTGCATGCCAACCACTCAAATCTTACATACTTACATATCTATACCTAAACATTAATTTTTACATATATGCAGCCTTACCTATACATGAAAATGTATATTTCACACTTAAATGTTAAAATAGTGATATTTTTTATGTGACACAAGATTTGGGTGGTATAAATGTAAAAATCAAAGTTTAGATGTTAGACGTGTAAAGACATAAGAATCAAGTGGTACGTATGTAAATCCCCTAAAATTTTACTGAAGGGCATGGTCCAGCATAAACGCTACCTTGCTTTGTGGATGGGCCAAATTTGAAAAGAAAATCAATCTATTTATAGGGATAAAACAAAATCTGTAGAGGATAAAACAAAAAATGAAAAGAATTTTATGAACAAAAAAAGATGAAAAAGAGAATGTGAAATTAAAAAATAAAAATTCAAAAAGTGAAACATGACGCATGCTTGAACACAGAATGAGAAAAGAGAGAATTTGAAAACTTACATACGGGTACGAACAAGAATTTTTCATTGGCAACTCGCAATTCAGCAAATAGTGAACTAATACAAGCAAAAAATGTTATTTTTTAATGCATAACAAGAATATAGATCACAATACGCCACTGACTACATAACACATACATATAAATGGATAGAAAGTGCTCTTTACAAATTCCAAAAAAAAACTTGGCATGCATTGGAAAAACGTGCAAGTTCTCTAATATCAACTAAAATATCATGCCTCAAAAACCATGAAGTCATTTAGAAAAGCATGCAAGTTCTCTAAATATTCAAATACTTGAAGTAAAAAATGTACTCCTGTGCTTCAATCATTGTGCTAAACGCTCGAACATCAGTCAAAGACTATCGCACAAAAAGCTAAATGAATGAGATGAATTAGAATTTGGCATGCCTCAAAAATCATGTAAGTTGCCTTGAAAAGAATGTAAATTCTCTAAAGCATGTCCAAATTTATTAAATTAAACACATGCATGTGCTCCGACCAATATGTTAAACACTCAAACATAAAATCAGAAAATATTACACGAATTAGAAAAAATGAGATACTTAAATTTATAATAACTTGAGAAACATGCAAACTGAGAATTCTCATCTCAGCAACACGTAACTTTCTTTTAAAGGCCAACATTTTGTGCCATAGAGCATTACAGGTCTCATCACCATCTTATAAAATTTTCCTTTCAGTATAAGCGGTACTTTTCTATCACACAAAAAAGCCCGAAACATTCCTCCACTTCAACCAACCAACTTGAATTCTACTCTTAACATCCCCATCTATATCACCATCACTTTGAACAATCTTCTCTAGAACTCTCCAAAAGACTTCTCTTGGAACCTTATCGTAAACTTTTTCTAAATCAATAAAAAACAAATGTAGATCTACTTATTCTTGATGATCCGGTTATGAGAGTAGATGTTTTAGATTCCACTAATGTTAAGAAAGGCAGAAGTAGATCTAGAAATACTTGGGCATATTGTATAAAAAATTATCTTAATTTATTTGAATTAAATGAAAAATATGACACTTAATTAGACGCAATGGAGAAAAAAGATTCATGTAGCCGACCACACTTAGTGGGATAAAAGATTGTTGTTGTTCTTGTAGATCCTCCTTATTCTCTCTGTACTTCTCCATCCAACCTAATAAATGTATAGCTTTCATTGTAGACTTGCCCGGGATAAATCCAAACTGATTATATGAAATCTCTGTAGCACGTTTTAACCTATGTTCAATTATCTTGTCTCATAATTTGAAGTATGACACATCAACTTTATTCCTCTATAACTTGCAAACTCTTGTGCATCCCTTTATTCTTTAAAATGGGGACCAAAATATTCTTCCTCTCTTCCGCGGGCATCATTTTAGTTTTTGAAATAATATTGACGAGTTTAGTAAGTCAATAAACTCCCAAATCTTCTAAATATTTTCACGCTTCAATTGGAATATCCTCAAGTCATACTAATTTTCCAACCTTGATTTTCTTTAAAGCCACAACTTCATTGATTCATAGATAATTATAATTATTCTACAATTATTATCCTCTAATTTTATTTACTGCTTATCAGAAACTCTCCTGGAATCAAATACTAAACAAATGTTAGCAAGAAAAAATCATCAATTCTCTTCAATTCTTATCAATATCTAATTTCAAGTAAATAAATAGGATGACAAGCACTAAACTAATCGCATATATGATTAGAGTAAGTCCAAAGGTTGTTCAACAAGTTGCCAACCAGCCATATTAATAAAAGGGAAATTTACATATCTAGCACTCAGTTCTTATGAATTCTCACACCTAAACTTTCATATTTACAAACATAACACTTTACCTATGTATGAAAAGGTTGGTTTGATCATTAAAAAGAGTAATTAGCGCTATTTTTAATGTGATATGAAAGAAATGGGAGCTATGCATATAAAAATGAATGTTTTGGTGTGAGATGTGTAAATCCATAAGAAGTGAGCGCTATGCATGTAAATGCCACAAACAAAAGTGACCGCCAGTTCTATCTAGGACTTCTAACCACATTTGGCCAAGTTTATGTGAACTTGGCGTTTGAATAGGGAAGCATCTAGTGAAGTTCATATGAACTTCTCCAAACTGCTCCAAATTCAAATATTAAAAAATTTTAAATTCTAAAAGCAAAAGTTAAATAGATCAACTTAACCTTGGTTACTTCGGGGCTCGATTCAAACTAGTTAAAAAAAGGGCATTTACATACATAGCACCCGATTCATATATGTTTACATATCTAACACCTAAAGTTTACATCTTACATCTGTTTCAAATAACATCAAAAATATCACCATTTTAACCTTTAAAATGTGAAATACACCTTTTCATGCTTAGGTAAGAAGGCATGCATGTAAAAATTGAATTTTTGGTGTTATTTTTGTAAATACGTAGGAATTGAGTGGTATTTATATAAAGCTTCCTAAGAAAATAGTGCCATAGCTGAATGTCATCATTAATAATTTTGTTCTTTAATAAAAAAATAAAAGATATAATTACCTGAAGAAGTCCCATTCTATCTTGTATAGATGTTTGTGATCTTCCCATGCGCCAGAAAACGGATCCGAATATAACTGCAGCTGCAACGGACATTCGTGTCCGGACTTTATTTGTAGGCCCATCACGAAAAGCCTAAGCAAAAAACTCATTGAATTCAGCACAAGTGGTTAAACAAAAGGAGCATTTACATGCATAACAAATAATTCCTATGCATTTGCATATCTAATACTTAAACTTTTTTTTTTACATTTATATCAACCAAATCTTTCATATCTCATCAAAAATACTACTATTTCATCTTCTAAAAGGTGAAATACATATTTTCATTCATAGTAAAGATGACATGTATACAAAAATTGAAGTTTGATGTTAGATATGTAAATACACAGGAATTGAGTGTTATGTACGTAAATCTTCCTATACATAAAAGCAATAAAAACTAAAGAGTTCTTCATAGTTATATAAATCTACGTTAAGCTCTAACAAGTTTCCATAACAGCAGCCTTAAAGTCTCCCTCCCTACCTCCAAAATCATGTTAGTCAGTTATAACAGTGATAATAAAGAAAAAGGAAGATTGCATGCATGGCACTTATATCCTATTTACATATCTAACACCAAAACTTCAATTTTTACATGTAAGCCACCTTACCAAATGCATGAAAATATGTATTTCACGTTTTAAAAATTAAAATAATGATATTTGTGATGTGATAGGAAAGATTTGGATAGTATAAATGTACAAAATAAAGAAGGTAAAATTGCGTCATGAGAAAAATTCATGAAAAAAACCTGCATCCATGCGCGTTTAAGAAGATTGCATGCATGGCACTTATATCCTATTTACATATCTAACACCCAAACTTCAATTTTTACATATAAGCCACCTTACCAAATGCATGAATGTATTTCACATTTTAAAAATTAAAATAATGATATTTGTGATGTGATAGGAAAGATTTGGATAGTATAAATGTACAAAATAAAGAAGGTAAAATTGCGTCATGAGAAAAATTCATGAAAAAAACCTGCATCCATGCGCGTTTAAGAAGATTGCATGCATGGCACTTATATCCTATTTACATATCTAACACCCAAACTTCAATTTTTACATATAAGCCACCTTACCAAATGCATGAATGTATTTCACATTTTAAAAATTAAAATAATGATATTTGTGATGTGATAGGAAAGATTTGGATAGTATAAATGTAAAAAATAAAGAAGGTAAAATTGCGTCATGAAAAAAATTCATGAAAAAAACCTGCATCCATGCGCGTTTAAGGAGCAATCGGAACTGCTTCCACCATCCGGCTCGACGTTTAGTTAAGGATTTTCTAGCGAACTTGGTTGGAAAACTCAAATCCTTCGAAGCATTAACCGGACTTGCACATTCCATAACAAGAGAATTCTGCGAGAACTCGGCAACAAGTTTGTCAATCCTTGTTTGCGAAGAATGCACACATTCAGCAGAGCTATAATCAATAGATATCAAATCGGCAAGGAATTCGGCAGGATTCATATGATCTGGACATTCGTACCTGAGGCAGTGGATTCTTCAACTCAATAGCAGCGATCTTAGAGAAATGCCATAAAGCAAAAAAACTATAGAAATGGGTAATTGATACCAATATCCACATGAAGGCGAAAGGATAACAAACTTTTAGAGCTTAGAAGTAGATGTTTCAATAAATGAACTGACCCAACAATCCAACCAAACCTGACTCAAAAATTCTAAAATTAGGTTGGGATTGAGCAACTCAAATAGCCTGAAATTGACTCAATTACTATTCAAATTTAGTTTACACAAGGTCGGGTCTAAGTAATTGGGTTAAACGTGGCATATTTTGGTTAACTGGGCCATGTTGATCAAAATAAAACTGCATTATCTATAAGAATTGGGTTAGACAGATCAGTTCGGGTGGAGATAGGTTTGGGTAAAGTATTTTGACTCATAAAAAAAAGGTCTAGTTCGGGTTTAGCATATTTGGGCCATGTCAACTTCAAGTTGGACCCGACCTGACAATTCAACTTGAACTAAAAACCCTACTTAGAAGCAATATTTATTGAGGCTAGTAAAGAAAATTCATTGTCAATGAACTCACATGAGCAATTTGAAGATGGACAGAGAGTGGAGGATTGTAGTAAGGGTTGTAAATGAACCGATGCATTTGTTGAATAGCTTAAACTCGGCTTGATTAATATTCTATCATGTTTCTTCAAATTAATAAATAAACAAATTTGAACACTTAAAACTTGAAAGTTAAATGAACCAAATTTGAACATAATCCAACTGGTTTATTAATGTTCATGAACAATTTTGTTTATTGCTTAACAAATAACATATTAAATGCTCAATATTTATATTATATAATTTGATTATTTATAAATTCTTTAATTATAAATTTAATAGTAATATACTATAATTTAATACTAATAAGCATGTAAATTTAATGTGTTTTTTCTTATTTTTTTATTTCAAGTTATTTTAGTGAATTGATTTGTTATGACTTATTCATATTATTTGATCGTAAAAAAGCTCACTTACAACTTATGCAATATTTTATTTGCTTGGAATGAACTAATTAAAAAATAATTTGAAATTTGTTCAATTGCTTATTTATTTATATTTGTAAAATATTTATTAATAACTTTATATAAAAATCAAACCCTCATTCAAAATTTTTAACTTATTTACTAACCATATATGAAAATCAAGTACAAAGAGAATTTTTATTTTATATGAAAAATCAAATCTTCATTCAAATTTTTATTTGTTCAATTAAAATAAAAAAGTAAAATACAAATCAAGTATAAATATTAAGAAATTTAAGCAAAGTCAAGTATAGACATATATGTGAAAGATCGGCTCAAGCTCTAACTAAACAAGGATAACTTATGATTCGATTAAGCCAAGTCCAATCCATGACATAATTGACTCAACTCGGTTCAGTTACAACACTAATTATGAAAGACCATATGAAGCAAGAGCACGATTGACTCTTTCTTGAAGTAATATATATATATATATATATATATATAGAGAGAAGTTTTTAAGGAAAGATAAAATAATGTGAAATTGCAACTTGTAAAATATGGCCCAAGCATGACACCTTGCTCACACAAAAACCACAGATGGTTCTAAAACTAGAAAAAACAGAAAAATACATTAGATACTTAAATAAAAAGTCTAACATTATCAAAATACATAGTATCAGGTGGCTAGGAGTGACCCAATTTGGTCTTGCCTCTGCCTCTATTTCGAGGAAAGGAGCAAGCTAATAAGCTGGTAAGATGATTGTCATTGTCAGTAGTAACCAATGTATCATCCAATATGTTCCTAAGCTGGAGTCGGTCTCGATTCTTCTTCTTCCTCCTGGAATAGACATGTCAATTCTCATCCGAAGAATCAGTCTGATTGGGTGGTAGAGCTGAAGCAGAAGGAATACTAACCGTAGTACCCACAATAGGTTCTACTATATGTGAAGTATGAGTTGCCTCTACACCGAATACTTTCTAAAAAGGTGGGGCTACGAGGTTCTCTTGATTATCAGTCTGAATACTATCATTTGTAGGTAATAGTCCATCAGTATTGTTTCCTATGGGGTTTGAAGGTGTCAGCATCACATCACTAGCAGTAACAGTAACAACAATATCATGGGGGGTTTTCAAGGGCAACAGACACCTCTTGTCTGGTAGTATCCTCTTCAGGTGGAACTAAAATGTCTAGAGCAGTGGGGTTAGACCCATCCTTATTCACTTAAATATTAGATTTCAAATTTGGATGAAACTTGTGGCATTTATCAAGAACATGACCAAACATCTTACAGTGGGTACAATATGGGGGATTGTGCTCCATGAAGATTTGTTGCCAATAACTATTATGGGTTGTGCCCAGCCAGACTTCAGTAACATCAGGTAAAGTAATATCCTTTTTTCACAAGTATTCTGGCCACTGAAGGTCTAATTAGGTTGAATGTAGGTAGATCTATCTTCAAAAGATCCCCAAGGATGACCCCAATAGAACAGAGAACTTGATGATAAAAAAATGCAGCTTGAGACCAGGTAAACTAAATCATACCGGTACAGTGGGAGTCTCGTGATTTGGGTCGAAATCAGGAGACCACTTGAGTAGCTTCATGGGTTTACCAGCAATGTTAAGATTTCAAATTTGGATAAAACTTGTGGTATTTATCAAGAACATGACCAAACATCTTACAGTGAGTACAATATGGGGGCTTGTGCTCCATGACGATTTGTTGCCAATAACTATTATGGGTTGTGCCCAACCAGACTTCAGAAACATCAGATAAAGTAATATCCCTTTCCGCAAGTATTCTGGTCACAAAAGGTCTAATTATGGTCTGATTAGGTTAAAAGTAGGTAGATCTAGCTTCAAAGTATCCCCAATGATAACCCCAATAGAATAGAGAATCTGATGATGAAAAAAATACAGTTTGAGACCAGGTAAACTAAATCATACCGGTACAGTGGGAGTCTCATGATTTGGGTCGAAATCAGGAGACCACTTGAGTAGCTTCATGGGTTTACCAGCAATGTTAAGATATTTTCTGGAGAAAATGCGAGTGTAGTCCTCAGGCACGGTTAACTGAATCAATACATGTTTCACATTCATGAGCCCCACTTTCTACTTTCCCGTTAATTTGAGGTCATAAAAAATTTTCCTAATAATTTCCATAGATACGTGTTCCCACTGAAATTTTTCAATAAGAGCAAATTTGAATTTGTCAGTCAGCGTTGAAATTTCTGACGTGGAGAAAAAGAGTGTTGTCTTCCCACTTTTTCTGCTTGCATTCTTAATAAAGAGACAGTCACATGTACCATCATGATGTTCCTTATAATTTGAAGGGAAGACAACTGTCGTCTCCCCCTGAGGATTACCCACCACATGGGCAAAGGAGATTTTTTCAGGTTCAATCGAAAAAGAGGAAGCTCCATCACAACAAAGAAAAGCCCTACAAGTCGGGCAAAGAGCAAAAAAGATGAGCCGAAGAGTTCAGGGCGAAGCTGAGCAGAAGACAGGAATCGCAAATGAAATGCGCAAAAGACAAGGCAAAGAAGACGAAATCGCAACTTAGCAAACACAAAACCAAGACGACGAAACCGTAGCAGACGCCGAAGCCCTTCGTTGTTTGGCGCGAGAGAGAAGATGACGATTCATCGTCATCGTCGAGTGAGGAAAACCGCTCCGTCGAGTCAGAAATCAAACCAGGGTTTCTCCTTGGGCGAAACCCTAGCAGAGCGGTCGGAAGCAACATGATTTACAATTATGTACGATTTAGTTTATGTTATGACATGCTTATTTCATTTGGTGATGTGTAATCCCTTTTGGTTTTCATAAAATGATTATTTTGGCAAGAGAGTTATTTGTCAACTCCACACTAGCTCTCATTAAACAATTGGAAGATTTACATAAATACCACATACTTCCTATGTATTCAACTATATAACACCTAAACTTTGATTTTTACATTTATGTCACTTATCTATGCTTAGAAAGGCGTATTTCACCTTTTAAAAGTTAGTAAAAATGGTATTTTTTATGTGATTTGAAGATTTGATCGTTACAAATGTAAGAATGTAAGAATTAATGTTTAGGTATTAGATATGTAATTACATGGGAATTGTCCGATATGCGTGTAAATACCCCTAAACAATTTCAAAATTCATTCACAATCATTTATGTTCCCCAATGTCCACCAATCAGCTTTAATTGTAACTAAGTATTGATTTAAAAAACAATAAAAACCACAGTTTTACGTTGACTACCTACATGACAAAACTCCTCTATTGCCAACTTTCTTGAAATAAACCTGAAATTGAAATAATTTTCTTGAAAAACTCCTCTATTGCCAACTTTCTTGAAATAATTTTCTACTCCTACATGACATAACTTTCTTGAAATGATGTGATTTTTTTAAAATTTTATTCAATTACCTTCTCCTAAAAAATAGAACATATAAGCTCTATCTTTTTAAGAATTAAACTGCAAAAAAATAAGCACATAATTGAATAGGATAGATCAAAATATAAAGCTTTTTACCCAAGTTTTGCAAAGTATTTTAAGGGTTCATCTTTCGCTGGACCATTGTAAACAACTAAACCCTCTGATAGCAGCACTAAGTCATCAAACTTTTTAAATACTGAACTTCTAGGCTGATGTATTGAGCAGATAACAGTATGTCCCTCTTGTGCAAGCTGTTGAAGAGTTTCCATAACCTTCTCAGCTTGGAATGCATCCAGGCCTGCCCAAAAGAATAAAAAATTGAGGCTTTACATACATATCACCCAATTTCTATGTATTTATACATCAAACACCTAAAAATTGGTTTGTCCATTTCTCCCTCCCAAATCTTTTATCATATCAGAAATACCAGGATTACAACTTTTAAAAATTGAAATAAATCATTTCATGCATAGATAAGGCGGCGTATATTTAAGAATTGAGTTTAGGTGTTAGACATGTAAAGACTTAGAAAATGAGGGGGTATAAATGTAAATCTTCCTAAAAATTTTTGGTATCTATCGCAGTTAAAAGGACTAAGGAAAATTTACAACAACCCAAGAATTCATAGAATGAACTTTTTAACAGCCATATGAGAAGGATCAAACATATGTTTTAAGAAATTCAGTTGATTAAAGGTTAATGACAATTAATTTATCATAAGTTGGTTTATTTTCACGGCAATGATTTATAATTAGAATTAAAAGATGGAGCAATTAAGTATAAAAATCACGAACAAAAAAAAAGTTACAAGCTCTAAGGACCAGATTGTTTCAATGTAAGAATATGGAAGTAATCTATTTTTACTCCTAGAAATAAGTGTTAAGTTTTGATTTTATTTAAATTGAATAAAATTGAGTTTCATTCTTGAAACACACCTTTAATTGAAATATTAGAAGTGGGCATTTACTTTAAGGGCTAGTAATTCATCTTAAATTTTGCTTTGCAGCTTTTAATAAAAAAAAATTAATAAATTAATAAGATCATGCATTAGAATATCAGATTATTACTTTTATTTATAATGCTAGTAAAGTAATGAGGAAAAATATGCGACAAAGGATAAAAAAGAAACAAAGAAAATGGCAAAAAGTGAGTTTTAAAAAACAAGTAAATATATTGTAACTCGCTCCATATTGACTCGTTTCTAAAATAGAGATCTAAATACTTCTCGACACTCACAATGCAAAACATTGAATAGAGACTACATGCAGCTAATTTAGTTTAGTGGTTCGGCTCTTTGTCTCTAATCACAAGATCCTAAGTTAAAGGTTTAAAATATATCGGTGTATGCATTTGTTTAAAAAAAAAATACCAGAGACTATAGGAGAAATGAAAACAATTTAAATCCCTCTAGAAGCCAGCACAAAGAATATGTGTAAGCAACATAAAGGAAAGAAGAAACTCTCTAAATGAGAATTCAAAAGAAATTTACATACCAACCACACAATTCTTATGTATTTACATATCTAACTCCTAAAATTTGATATTTACATTTATAACACTTCTATGTCACAATCACATGCATTGAAGGAATTATTCTTTTAAAAACACTAGTAATAGTGATATTTTTTATGTAATATTAAGGAATTGAGGCTTATACATGTAAATATGAAAGTAAGGTGTTAAATATCTAAATAAATAAGAATTTTGTGGTATGTATGTAAATGCCACACAATTAAATTACATAAGAATAAAAATGAAATTTAGAAAAGTATCATAAAGCAATATTTAACAATCTAAAATAAAGGAAAGCTAGATCTACTTTAATATGTGAATAATACTACAGCAACGGAAAAGGTTTTGCACTTGTGGTATGAAATTAAAACTCAATAATCGGAATATATATGCTCGCCAAAATCATTTACAATATCAACACCATTATCAAAAAGCCATCACATTGATTTGAGAGGGCAGCATTTAACTAGGTTCTCAAACAAACAAACAAATAATTTGAATGAAAAAATATCAAAAATAATCAAAATTACCCAGAAATTACTATAGTTTATAGTAGGAAAACTTATATAAATACCACTCAATTCCTATACATTTACATGTTAAGTTTAAATGCCCATTTAAAGTATTCACGTAAACTAAGAGCCCATACTTAAGCTCTGTGGGACCACTTTTATAGTTCTTCTAAACCATCTTCGAGTTAAAAGTTGGGCTTAAAAAGAACCACCGGTATCAGTTATAGCAGCAAATGTTGGATGCTCTGCCATTCATCAGTTGACTAATTACCATAATTTATTTGATGCACTTATGTGATTAATAAACATAGTAACCAAGGACTGAGCCAGAGAAATTTAGAAATCAATTTTAAAGCTCGAGTTATTTAAGCACATTGATGTGCTGTAGTAAAGATATTAATGGATCTTGATTTCTATATGAAATTGCAACATATGTAGGAAAGAAGATAAGAAATAGGGAGAGAGAGAGAGAGAAGGAAGTTGAGACAGAGGGGAAGAAAGAGAGGAAAGAGAGAGAGAGAGAGAGATGAGGAAGTAGAAGAGAAGGAGAAGAAGCCAAATTGAGAATTGGGAAGAAATGGGAGTTAAAGTTAGAGAGGGAAGGTAAAATACCAAGAGGTGAAGCATAAAGGACGGTAGAGAAGCTAAATAGACAATAATCATTCCATAATCATCAATAGCCCACAAATTTATTTATAAAAAACGCCGGACAAACTTAAATGATTAGATATACACGCAAGATAAGCACATCATTAGTAGCACATAAATCTAACTGGAATGACCTCTAAAAATTTCTTAGGTATGAGGAAATATCTTTCGAAGAGTTCTGTTGAAGGTACTCGTAAAACAGTCTGAAACAAAAAGACAAAGCAAGAATCATTATTCATTAAATGGAGGATGATGCCCCATAAGAATTAAAAATTTGTTGCTCCCTTGAAGGACACATAATAATATTGTCGGACAAAATTTGCTCAACATTTAATATATGCAAAGAAAAGTGTTTAGGCCAGAAGAGAGCATATACTTCCTTCATCAGTTCATTATATTCCTGAAATTACTTATCAT